CTGCAGGACCTCTCCACTTCCCAGCCAGACCCCAGGGAGCTGGGATTGGGTCTGCAGAAAAAGCCCAGGGTGTCAGCACATTTCTCCTTGCTCACACACTGTAGTCATTCACCGAGGCCAAGCCAAATGTCTCCTTGCCTGCAGCAGCCAATGGCCTCACACAACATGGCTCTGAGCCGTGTTTCACACGAGATGGAAAAGGCTCCAGTGCCAAAAACGGGGAAGGAATGTGCAGCAACTGCCCAGAGCCAAGCCGGGGGTGTGAGGTGGGGGATGGCCACAGAGCTATATGGGGAGCAGCCAGGAAACACAGCCTGAGGAATAAGACACGAGTCTGGAGGGGCTATCCACAAAGCTTAGGGAGCAACAAACCTCCAGAAGCCTTTTTCTTTCTCTTGCCACTCTCTTCTCCAGGGGCAGACGCCAACCAGTGCCCAGAGGATATCACCCTGCAAGTGCCCAACACAGCCGAGAGCAAGTCTCGCATTTCCTCCACATCCTCTGCTTCCACGGATCTGAACAGCCTGGACACCAGCGAGGAGGGGGCTGAGACCCCCGTGGTGCAGTCAGATGAGGAGGATTTGCAGGAGGACAGTACCAAAGAGCAAGTGGCAAGAAGCTAGCAGCCAGCTCTGCCCTGCTCCCAGCCTCCTCCATACGGACTTGCCAGCCCAGAGGAAGGAAAGCTGCTGGTGTTCAGTAAACTCCATCCTGGACTGCTGCCCTGCCAGAGGGGAGAGATGATTTTCCCCTCCTCACCCTCCATGGGTTCTCCTGGCAGCCAAAGGAGAAGGAAAGGGGTATTGTAAACTCCCAAAATTAACTCTTCAGGCTTTGCTGCTAACACTCCCTGCTTCACTCCCCTAAAACACACAGCATCCCACAGCCCCACCATTCCCAGAAAGCCATCCCTTGGGATCCCAGTTCCCCCAGTCCTACTGACAGGTTCTGTCCAAAGCACTTAACGATGGCACACAGGAAAATAACACTGGTCTAACCAAGCAGTGTGGGGGTGTGTGTCATTGGGAGACAACAACACTGGGGAGGAGGGATTGCAGGGGATTGCAGGAGGGAGAGCAGTGTGAAGTCAGTGTGCTAAGGGTGCCATACAGGAGCAAACAAAACCTCCTGTTGCACAGTCCAGGGATGGTTCCTGTGCCTAAGGTTGGAGCAGACAGCACAGACCTCTGAGTGCAGCAGATCACCATGCTGAACACCAGACTCTGCCTCCAGGAGGGAGAGAGCCAGCACAGGCACAGCTGGCCTGAGCAGGGCTGGGGTGATGGTGACCTGTCACCACCAGCCATAACTGCACTGGGGATTTCCCAGGCAAGTGGGCTGAGTGGGGAACACCAGCACAGGAAGCACCAGGTGCTGCTCCCCCAGCTGAGCCGGATGGCAGCAGCCCTGGCTGGAGACTGCTTGAGAGGCATAAAGGAAGAACCATCAACATGAAATCACTTTACAGCCTGCCGAGCTTGCTTCCTGCAGGCCAGGCCAGGAGTTGGGCACAAAGCTGGCCAGGGGCCACGATCAGCGGCTGCAGGCCAGGAGAGCACTGTCCCTGCTCCAGCTGTCAGCACAACCATGGACACCCCCACCAGGAAAGGAGCCTGGGAGATAAGCAAGAGGAGCCAGGGAATGCTCCTCATTCTGGCTGCTTCCCAGGGGGTGTTCAGACATTACTGCACTCCTGTGCCAGCCAAGCCTTCATGAGACAGGCTGGAGTGCCCCAGTTATCCGGGAATGACTGGCCAGAATGGGAGAGTGTGACCTCCACTGGACTGTCACCCCTGGCACTGCCTTGCTGCGGCTGCACTTTGCTTCCCCGCGGGGTGGCCGCAGGCTTTTTTTTCCTCAGGCTGGCAGCTGATGCGAGCACTGCGCCCGGAGATAGATGCTGCCCTCCGGCAAGGAGCGCGGCAGAGCCGACAGCAGCGCGAAGAGCTGAGAGGAGCAAGTCACTGGGGACAGGCGCAGTCCTTGCAGTGTCCTTGCGCACAGCCTCCCCCGGCAGCTCCAGTCCCAAAGAGC